AACAGAAGTAAGTAGAATTCACGGGAAAACTTGTGAGTAAATCACAACTTACTACTGACCATGTATTAAACTTTGGTTGCTTCATTTTAATTAAAAATGAACTTAATTAGGCTAGAACTACATTTCCAGTTCTTTGTTATCACTTAGAAGTTCGATTGTTTTCTCAATTTGGCATTGTCCAAACACACACACACACACACACACACACACACACACACACACAATTTAACCACACACTGCTCCATTTGTTGCTTTCCATTTTGGTGGTGACCATTACTGTTGTAACCTGGAGGCACACACCAGAAGAGGGAGTTCATCACTGACCCTTCACTGTTCCTCAAATACTCCTCACCCATCTCCACCTCTTCTATAGCATTGGTGTACTGCTACACTGGAGACAAATGGAGAATGAAAATTACAGGAAAAGTTTTGATATCAGTGTTGCCTTAGTCATCAAAAAGGAATATGCAAAACTTGTACCAGCAAATAAGGAATATAGTGTATTGGAGGCACCTTACCCATTTGCCTGTTACTGCCTTAGCTCATACTTGAATTCTATTCTTTATACCAATAGCATCTTGCATACCCTGTCTTTTCAAGTCCTTAACTAGAATTGCATTAGACATTCAGTCTTCTTTATGAAACACTTGTTCCTTCCTGCAGAAAGATGTTCTTTATTACATTTTCAGTGTGTATGCATGTGTGTGTATGTGTATGAATCAGTGAGGAGGGGGGATGTGTAACTTTCAGGGTACCTATGTGGAGCAGGGTCTCAGGGTCAAACTCAGGCTGTCAAGCTTGAAGGTATGACCCTTTACCCACTGACGCATCTTGCAGGTACTGAGAATTATTCTTTCTTTCTTTCTTTCTTTCTTTCTTTCTTTCTTTCTTTCCTTTTCTTTCTTTCTTCCTTCTTTTCTCTCTCTTCCTTCCTTTCTTTCTCTTTCTTTTTTTTTGCTTCTACAGGTGAAATTTCTCTAATTTCCAGATGGCTGTTTTCTTTCCAGTGAAGCTTAATGCTTTCTAAAGGGATGCTTTCTAAAGGGATACTTTGATTTCTACATTAATACGTTTCATAAAGTGAAATCAAGTCATCTTGAAGGAAATTAAATAGCCAAGGCTCTTTGTCACAGCCTTGTGCCTAGTTCCCAATCTAGTGTATAGTTCAAATTCCCTGAACAACTTCATAAAGATTGGGGCTGTGTCTCAGTCTAAAGATGTAAGTGCAGTAGAGGTACTTGAGCCTTTTAAACTCTTCTCCAGGTTATTTGGATATACAGCCTAGGTTTAGAAGTATTGCACTACAGAAAATGGAGAATAGGATTAAAAGGTTATTAATTTTCAATAGGAGCAAAGATCTTGTCAAATGTAGATAATAAGATCCACTACAACTCAAATAAGAAGTGTCTGCTGTGGAACAGAAATATTAAAAGCAGGCACTTTGATTAAGAGTAAATGATGCTATAAAAACTGGGAAGGGGAAACACACAGTAGTACTTGGATGGCAAAACAACTCAATATTTGATACTGGAAAAGAACAGGAGAATGGGGAAGCCCCAGTGAGTTAGGAACACCCATGTTAAAATGCGAGTCAGAAGCAAGCCTGATGGGAAGGTGGGGATCTTGGGTCAAGCAGATTTCAAGAGGAAATTCTGAGAATTTCTAAGTTCTAAGTTGGCAAGTTTTCAAAGAAAACAGAACTTGATAAGTGGTTTAAAAAAAAAAAAAACATTGATGGAAGCCAGCGAGATGACTCAGACAGTAATATAGTTGTCATACAAACATGAAGACCTATATTTGATCCCCAGCACCCAGCACCCATGCAAAAAAACAAAACAAAACAAAAGCAAAAAAAAAAAAAAAACCCAAAGCCCACCCCTATAATTGCAGCTGAGGAGGCAGAGACAGCAGAATCTTTGGGGCTTGATTTGCTTCTCAGAAACAATGTGGGATGACTTCCCCTTTGCCTCCCATGGTTCCCCAGACTGTGATATTCCCCTTCTGGGTTCCTGACTGTTGTTTCAATAACCAGATCTTGAGTAAGAGGCTACTTTTAAGATTACAGTGTGCTCATCAGGTCAGCAGGATCACATGCTCACTAGACCTTATGAAGGGCTCACACTACTTCAAACAGCTACCAACTAGCATTTCTTTTTCAGATCATTACAAGCATTCCACACAAAGACAAGAAGATGTTATCATTGTGGTTTATGCTTAATGAGTACTATTCAGTCAGGCAATCACAGGTAAAATATACTAGAATATTTTTTTCATTTTAGAAAAATATTAAACAATTTGCCCCACTAATGATGAGAAGAAATTTAATTTTTTCTTAAAAAAACCAACATTCTACTGACACCTGGGGTGGGGGATGTGTGAGAAGGAAACCAAACACTGACTATTGAAGAATACTAAAACCTATAAAAAAGAAGAGTATCAAATGGAAATTCATTTTGATGGTGGCATCGTAACAAAATACTATACATTCTAGTTCTGTAGCATCAAGCAAAATATATTTGCATTACTGGGTCCAATACAAAATACAATTGCCTATAGTGTAGTTAAAAATTCAACTACAACAAATACCTAACATAATAATAAATATCTAACAGAATGGTGCTAATTCCAGGTCCTGGTTACTAAACCTGCAACTAAAATAAACCTGAAATAAAAGTACTTTATTGATTGATTTACAATGAATCATTAGAAGGGCAGGACAGAAGCTGCTCTTTGTTTTGACGTAAGAGAGCAGCTCTGCGGAGCACTTAGTCTCATTGTCAGGTACATAAGAGGCACTCAGTGCCCACAGTTCCCAAGTTCACAGACCTGACCCTCCTTTCCTACCTCCAATACAAACTCTAACCAACCTTAAGGGAAGTCACTGAAATTCTTGAATCCCAAGAAATACCCTGTTAAATGTTCACTATCTGTACTAGCAAAAGGTATCTTTTACGTAAGTGAACCAATGGTAATTTCTTAAACCTAGGAGTTAAGTCAAGCCTAAGCTTGACTGTGATGGATGAAAGGAAGAAAAAAAAAGATGAATAGAGAAGCCAAGAGGATACAGAGGAGGAAAAGGGGATCACTGGCATTTTGAGAGCAAAGGATGAGTAAGTGCCTCATCCACTATGCCTATTACCAACCAATAAGAACCTCCTGTAAATTTGTGAGGGGCTCCAATGGTCCTAAAACTTTGAGCTCAGAAAATGCAACAATACCAGACATACACATTTCAAGTTTTTTTTTTTGGTGTGTGTGTGTGTGTGTGTGTGTGTTTGTTTGTTTGTTTTTAGTGGTATTGTTTGTGGTGATGGAAATGGACCCCAGGGTCTTTAAGGCCTGTGCAAGGACTCTGCAGTGTACCAACCCAACATCTCCATAGCTTCAGTGAAAATCACTGGAGCCAATCCACTAGCCCCATCTCCCAGCGGCCAACATGCAGTCTACGGATGACAGCTTATCTATTCAGTATTCAGTCATCCAAGAAGAGTTCCTGTAGAGTCTTCCGGGTCCTTCTCTCTCACATGACACTAGGTACTATAAGGAATAACTTCACTGTCCTAAGAAAAAAACTGGAAACACTGAAAATCCAGCTCTTGCTAAATCTTTCAGTAAACCCAGTTATGTGTGATTAACAGTCAAACTTCCTCAGGGTCAGGGACACAGAGGCCTGTATGTTACAGTAGGATGTGGCCTCACCCTGGCGTCTGCTCAAGCTTTGCTGTATCTTGGCTCTCTTGGCCCTGCATGAATGCTCTTCTTCCTTTAACACTCCCCATTGGGTTGTGTTTGCAGCCAAGTACTGCCCTTCTGCATGCAACAATTCACAAAATTCACACTCACTATGTCTCTTTAGCACTGCCCAACAATTCAAGCTCCAAAATTTGCCTGAGAAAGAGTTCAAAGACTCACTGAAATGATGCTCAACGACTATGAGGGGCAGGGTAAATTATAATGAATTTTAAATTAAAACTCAAATTTACTATTTTTGACAATTTACTATTTTTTGGAAGTAAAATTTCAGAAGAGTCTGTTTTCCACTACCAACTACAATGGGAATAAACAGCTTAGTTTAGCACATTAAAATATAATGTGTTGTGAAAAATATCTGTATTTTCACATTTCTAAGCTTACTTATTCATCCAAAAACCCTTGAGCGCCATACACGGTGTAAGACTAAATACAGTGAGCACAACTAACCTGAGCACAATATGTCAGAACAATCATCTTACATTGTACCCCTTTCTCCAAAATAACCTAGCATGTATTAAACATGTTTCTTAAGGATAAAGGAGAAAAAGCCAATTGGATTGAAACCCCTGGAAATTAAATATGACAGAACAAAACATCACAGAAATTATATAACTTTATTCAACAATTATGAACATATAAGTAATATTGGGCACTGAAATATTTTCCTTTTTAAAAGAATTTTAGTACTTTATTTCTAAAGATTTTCTTCTTATGCAGGTAACAGTTATATATAACTTAGTAACTGCCTGAACAGATCTCTATATCAATGATAAAAAAATTCTGTATAACAAATTTTCATTTCAAAGAACAAAAAAAACCACTGCAACATAATGACATCAAATTATTATAGTATAGTAAAATTACTTTTTACTATTGCAAAAACATGAAAGATAACTGATTTCATATAAGTGCAAAAATATATTAACAATTTTCTTACCAAAAATAAAGCTGGGTATAAATACAGAAGCATAATTTAGGGGACAATTTTGACTTTGGTGTTAACACAGGTCAACTAGAAACAAACTCAGGCACACTTACAAGAATAATACATTCACAAAAAAGTTAACATTAGAAGAGGTAAAAAGCCATAAACTCCTGCCAGGTTTTCTTCCCCCCTGCATTTGAAGCTTCATATTGAATTTGGAAAACTAGCAGAGTGACACACACATACACAAAAAAAGCACACTTGACACAAACTGCTTGTCCGTATGAGGACCTGATTTGACAAACAGGTTTAATCCACTTGCTCAATGGTCATGCTGTCCAAGTGACGTATGGCCAGTTTCCTCGGCTTCAGGAGGCTGGCTGCCAGTGTTTGCAGAAGTAGGGTGCTCCTGCACATGGGTCACTTTTCCTGAAGTTCTTGCAGTAGGAAGTTCATCACTTGTATCTTCTTCCATAGGTGAAAAGGTTCCAGATAGTTCATTGGCCATCAGAACTTGCAGGGAATCTGTTCCAACCTCAATGTCCACTTGAATCCCCAGAGCTTTCAGAATGTCACATTTGCACATAGGGCATGTGCCGTGGGTGAGAATCCAGGGGTCGATGCAGTTCTTGTGGAAAAAGTGTTTACAAGTGAGAATACGAACTGAATCATTAGGCTTGTAGGGCTCAAAGCAGATGACACAGCTGTCCGCATTTGGACTCACTTCCTCGTCGCCCTCTTTTAATACTCGGACTTGCAGCTGACCAAAAGCTTTCTTGAGGTCTCTTGTTATTCGCTTCCATCTCCTGTTCTCAATCCTTGCAACCCAAAGTCTCCGAATATGATAAAAGGTGAAATATGCTAAGGTAGCGGTTGTGACAATCATAAAGGAGACAAAATAGTGATTCAGCCAGATGATATGTTTTCTCCCCACCTCAATCACGACTGTAACATGAACTCCCTTCCGAATTAAATGCAAAATTTCCATGCCTTTTAAGTTGCCAATCATAACTACAACAGTGTCATCGAACGTCTGGTGAGACATGGGGAAAACCTGGTTGCCAGTACCTGGAAAGTTATAGATTATCACTCCTTTGGCTCCATTTTCAGATGCCACCTTAATTTTCTGTGTGAAAGTGCAACCTCCTCGTTCAATGAGTGCAATCCACGGCTCCTTGTTCGGTGGCCGGATGAAACTGGTATTGGGATCACAAGCATTTTGAGTTTTTCCCTCTGGTGGCACAACTACTCCTGCTACTTTCTTCAAGTTGGAGCTTCTCCCGAAGACCCCAGTCTCCCCCAGCTCTGACAACATTCGGTTCCCCACATGAAATGATATGTTCATGTAAGCAGTCCAAATTGAACTTGCCGTGCAGCAGTTCTGACTAAGGAGCCAAATAAAACCCAATTTCAGAAGCCAGAAAGATGCAGCGTTGTTTTGCCAAGTGTCAGTGTGAAGGAGATTCATCTCTGTCTTCCACGTATGACTTCAAGAGCCAACCCAACCAAAGGGTGTGGTTGCCACATCTGTTGACAGATCAATTCAAAACGAGGAAGGAAAAAATATCTTCTGGGTGAAAACAAGATCCACTGTCTTCCAACATGTTTCAGCAAGAGATTTCTAAAGATGTCTTGAGTTTCAGATGTTTTATTAGAGAGAAAAACCTTAGATAGTAAAGAAATCCCTGTCTCACTGCTGTAACTTTAGAAACTGCTTACTGTTGTTGCATGAGGTGATTGTGACATAAAAGACCAAGTAGCCAATTAGGTAAGAGCTCAGAGCAGGCTGGAAATGTACTGGCTTAGATGTTTCCCACCTGGTTATAGGTAGTTTGGGTGTACTTATAAGGTGATTCAATCATTGAACCATAGAAAATGGCTGTAGGTAGCACATTAAACTAAAAACAAACAAACATTTCTGCAACTGACTCTTTTTATAAACCTCAAAGCATATGTAAGAATACTGTGCAACTGTCACATTCCCTAAGAAATAGACAGTTCTGACAAAATTAAGTTTGAAATATCCAAAGAATCATAGATTAGGACCATGTCCCAATCAGCCTGAAGAGCAGTGAGATCTCTAACACTAATTTTTCATATTTGGTCATTGTCAATTTCTTACAAACATTCAGATAAATAAATGATACAGAATTTCTGGACATTTATTGGCTTTGTTTTGATCTTTTAAGACAGTGGAGATCACAGGCCCTGGGGAAGGAACCAAATATGGCAGGTTGATAGTGTTAAACTGTCATCTAAGTATTGTCTATATCTATAAACATTTACTACCCTCAGTCTTCAGCAGAAAAGGCTCTCTTTGTAGTGAACAGTGGTGATAAAGAGACTCCTGGCTACACAGAGTGTTAAACTAAGTGTTTGTCCTCAAACAAGACATTATGGCCATCCAGAAGAGGGGGCAGAAAGAACATAAAAGCTGGAAGACAGAGAAGGACTTCAAAATACTGTCTACTGGACAAGACATGCCATTGAAATTATGAATTCACAAAAGCTGTGGATGTCACTACTGATTGTATACAACAATGGTCTCATCAACAGTCAAGCATAGCTTGAGGAGAGGCTCAAAAGAGTGTACTCCCCATGGCAGAACTGAACTATTTGCTACTACTGATGGACTCTGGGGGGGGGGAGCATTAAAAAGTCAGCTGTAAACCCGCTGAAGACTGCAACAGACTCCAGTGGGTGTTTCTTATCCAATAGTCACCCAGATAGGCCTGGTTATAGGTCATAACTTAAAAGGGATTAGCAGTGATGGGGGTTGGAGACTGATAGGGTGAGAAGGAGATAGGGGTGTCTGAGATAGAATAACCAGAATACACTGCATATATGTGAAAAACTGTCCATTAACAAAGTCAATCAATTAAAATGTTGAAATAAATGGTGTAAATCAGAAATAATAATAGTGTGGAACTCTTAGTCCACAGTGGTTGATTTTTCTCTTGTAGAAGCCACAACTAGCTCATTTCCAAATAGCTCCTTGGGAAAAGTGCATTAACAGTGTGTAGACTTGCAAAGACCCAACCGCGCGCCATCTACATTGAACACTAAAAGCGAAGAGAGATTTTCACCCAAACCACAAACCCTTGTCTTTCGATATTTTAGTACTATGTAGGTTTTTAATCCACTCACCAGAAATGAGGGTGAAAAATGAGTCAAATATACTGAAATGGAAACTGAACCAAATGTTTTGTTCTGCTGTTGTCAAAAGCCGTACAGATAGATGCTCACTACCATTTGAGAAGAGAAGACAATGACAGACCCTAAGAGATACTTATAGAACAAACTGTGGTCAACATGGCTATTCCATTATGTTAGGATATAAAGTTCTCTGGCAAACAGATGAACTTTTGCAGTACTGCTCTAAACGATGCCTAAAAAACTTTAAAACTTTTATTTATTAAAAAATTTATCATAAAGTAATAAAAATAAAGCACTCATTTAACCTGTAGCTTTGGAAACCAGATTTCCTGGGTATTAATAAAATTAATTAACCATGGCAATTCAAATCCAAATCTAATTCTATAATATATCTAGGATGTAACTGTTAGGACCAAAAACTTAGATGAAGTATTAAAACAAAGCCTCCAAATAAATATGTTAAAAAGGAAACTTTACAATAGCCCAGCAATTCCCCCATGACATAAGTGACTTAAGCCCAGCAATCTGGAGAAGCACAACAAAGTCTAACAATTAAACTGATAAAAAAAAAGACAAGAGTTCATGGGCATGATATGGAGTTTTATTTTCAAAGCACACAAATTTCATCTTCTGTGGCTGGACAGAGGAAGCAAGGGTCAAGTTTTCTCTGTGTGTACAATGCAGTGAGAGAGTTCATCTAATTTTAATCTGTGGGAAGAGCTCTGGGCTTTTTAAGGTTTCAGAATGTCACACTTACACATGGGGCATGTCCTATGGGCTAAAAGCCAGGGGTCAATACACGTCTTGTGGAAAAAATGTTTGCAAGTTAAAATTCGTATTACATCTTGGGCTTTGTATATATCAAAACAAACAACACAGTTGTCTTCATTTGGGTCTAGCTCCTTATCCCCTTCCTTTAGCACTCGAAGTGGCAGCTGACCAATAGCTTTCTTCACGTCGGCCTTCATCTGCCTTTGCCTCCTGGCAGAAGAATTGGGCACTCGGGGTCTCCAGGCACAGTACAGGAAAAGGTAAGCCACTGTGGCTGCCAGGAAGGTAAACAGTGACGTAACATAGTGGCTCAGCCATGGCATATGCATCCTCCCCACTTCAATGATGATTGTCACATAGACACCTTTCTGGACCAAGTGCAAAAGCTCCATGCCTTTGAGGTTGCCTATCATCACTGCAACGATATTCTCGGTTCCCTGGTGAGACATGGGAAACACCTTGTTGCCTGTACCTGGGTAGTTGTAGATGATCACCCCATTTGCTCCTTTCTCTGCTGCCACATTGATTTTATGCGTAAAAGTACAGCCTCCCCGTTCAATGAGGGCCAGCCAAGAGTCTGCCTGATCAGGCCTGCTGAAGTTGGTCAGGGGATTACAAGCATTCTGGTTCCATCCTTCAGGAAGTACCACGGCACCAGACACCCTTTCCAGAGGCGAGTGGTTCCCAAACACTCCACTCTCTCCTAGCTCTGATATGATTTGGTTTCCCACCTGGAATGTTATATTCAGATGAGCTGTCCATATTGCTTTTCCTCTGGAGTCAGGGAGGCTAATTAGTAGAAAGACGCTAAGCCTCAACAGCCGAGATGAAACAGACCTATGAACTGAAGGAGTAAGTCCAAGTGGGTTCATTCCTCCTTTAACTGACAGACATGAAAAAACAGAATAACATCTGCTGTAAACGGAGGTTAAAAAAAAAAAAAAAAACAGCTGGCTTGAGCTGTCAAGAGCAGATTACTAAAGCACGGAAATGAAGGTCAGCCTGGGTGGAAGACACCTCGCTTCTTCGGGCATTTTTACTCTTGGTACTTTATCATTCTTGTAATGAAAATTCAAGAGATGTTATTAGTTCAATGTGATTTCAAGAAACTTGTGACTTCCTAATGGGTAAATTGTGACATCAGAGGGAGTTAAGCCAATCCAGGAGTTCATATTAATGCAATGCATACTGAAATCCCATTGGTCAGAAGAACTACTAAGCAATAAGTCAAGAGGAATGCATTTGTACATGTGTCAATGTATTCATATATAAATAAGATTACATGTCATTATTTTACATCATATGTTTACATACATACATATACATCACTTTAAACACACTCAAATGAATAAACATGGTAAGCATTAAAGAGAATACTACTTGGGTTTTGTTTTTATATACTGATTTTCTGAAAGACACTGTAAACCTTTCACAAACTATTCATTCACACTGGTGAATGCCTCTGGTCAGGTGTCAGTTCTCATTATGCTTCTACATTACCCAGCTGGACACTCTGGACAGTAGGAGCAAATCACCCTATACTCTGCTGGCATGGAATGCTAACACCAAGCCCGAAGATTTAGCACTGGAATGAAGAAGAAAAAAATGTATGGTTTTTTTTTTTCCTGATATAGACTTATCCCACAAGACAAACACATTTTTGTTCATTGAGTCTGTTACTAAAAATCTACTATGTCCTAAGCAAATACTAAAAATGAAAACAGATACTGAAAAATGATCCTACTATTATCATAGATTTGAAACATATAAATACAGATGATAGGGGAGGTCCTTCTGTGTATATGTTTGTCTTATTGGTTGATATGTTAGCCAATAGGAAAGCAAGTTAGGCAGGACTAGGAGTCAAGGAGGATTCTGGGAAATGTAGTGAAGATAAGTCTTGTAATCCAGGCAGGAAGTGGCATAGCAGGCCGACTCAGAATATAAGTAGGTACAAGAAGGAAATTGTCCTCTTGCTGTTCCTCTTCCTCCTGCTCTCTGCTCTGGAGCCGCTATGTGATCCTGGGAAGAGGACACCAGTGGAAGGCATCCTTGATAATTCTTATAAAATATATAGATTTATGATAATTAAGACTGAGCTAGCATATAAGAAATCCTAGTCAACTGGCCAGCAGCACTGTAAACTAATATAAGACTCTGCATGCTATTCTAGGCACCCATGTGGCAGCGGAGCTGAGGTGGATGGAATAAATGCAGCAGGTGGAACTTGGGCGGCTGGCAGAAAGCGCCCACGTGGCAGCAGGGCTTGGGTGACTTCGGCAGAAAGATTTATCGTTACATACAGACATGAATAAGGGCAAGAACTTTGAACAGAAAGAACTGAGTACAGAGAAAAAGATAACATGGAATGGGGACCATTCTTAGAGGCTCAAGATAAACTTGTCTAAGAAACTGATAGTCTAAGAAACTGAAATTCCAAATTCCCAAAGCAATTGGGTGGAGGACAGGGTGCTTTGTGCTCTATGATGGAAAGCTGCATGGTGAGTTAAAGGATCTGAAGGAATACAGACTCATCAGGAGGCAGTGAAGGAGGAACGGCAAAGGGGAATTGGTGTTTGATGGCACACATGCTACCCTGAGGACTCTGAGGTATGTCCCAGGACATGAGAAACATAATGCCAATTTTGTGCTTTGAGGAGACCGAAACAACTATCAAAACTTTGCTTTTACTTTGAATCCTTTGCACAGAGATGATAAGAAGGTGACAATACTCATCCAAAAATTCATCACCTAGGTATAGGGCAGGCTCTGTCACTGGTGGGCTAGCTTTGAGGACCCAGGAAGAGAAGGCAATGTTTGTTTATGAGGCTCCTGAACAGACTGAGCTCTACCACTGAAAATGCAGGTGCAGCAAGAGTGTGTGCGCTTTTGACAAAAGCATCCTTTGTACTTACTGAGCAACAACAGTAGTTAATATCTGTTTTCAAGATGGATATTGATCAAATTCTCAAGTCTTATAAGACTTATGTTATTTATGTGTGATTCAGTTTGCATCTGAACAATCTTTAGAGGAGGAATTTTCCATGTTCAGAGTGTGAACTACTGCCTGATTCTATTAAAAGTGAAAAATTGAGACTAGTTAAGAAGTTTGATGTTACTTAGCAGGTACTTGTTGAACTGGTGATTGCTTTTGGAAGGTGACTTAATTCAGGAATATTAATTTATTTTTGTCTGTACACCAAATGTGTGCAGTTGTCTATGGAGGGCAGAAGAACGCATCAGACTGGAGTTACAGACCATTGTGAGCTGCTATGTAGATGCTGGGAATTGAACATGGATCCTCTGGAAGAGCAGCAGCCAGGGTTCTGACCAATGAGCCGTCTCTTCAGGACCTGCAAGGTGATTTACAACAATCTGATTCTGACATGGCTATTCTATTTCAATGGGTTTGTTTGTTGTTCTTAAACAGGTTATTTGGATGGACTCAAACTTTATATGTAGTAAAGGACAACCTTGAACTCCTAACCCTCCTGTCTGTCAAGTGCTGGGAATAGTCTTGTTCTACTACATCCCAAATCTTTTGCACGAGTTGGGAAGGGCAAAATGTTTACATAGCAAAACATGTATGGCTCAAACCACATTTCAAGTCATGAATTTCCTAGTTTTGTTGATCAGAACAATTTTATAAAATTTATAAATTCATTGGCTTTTTCTTGCTACAAAGTTAAGAGGCTAAGGCCATGGTGGCTTAAACGCCCCTTCTCTTTTGTTATAGTCCTAGTACAAAATGCTCCCCATATCTAACTGTGGCTCTCTGAAGCAGATGTAATTTTGCTTTCTGAGGGATACTTTCTATTTTTAGAGATTTTTTTATATTATTATTCTCATAACTGGGGAATGTACCTGGAATATTATGGCTAAAAGCCAAAGATAAAACTAAACATCATAAAATTCTGGAGAGTGGCCTCTCAGCTCAGACACACCTAGTTCAAAAAGTTACAAATAAGGTTAGGAAGACTTGTGACAATGGTACAATCTTAGGAGAGGCACTACCTTCAAAGTCCCTCATCCCTGAGAGCCAATAAATGCTGAGCTCTGGCTGCAGAGTAAGCTTCTGTAACTATCAACATTTCTGTCAAGTAAGATGCTCTCAGGACATACCTCAATTTTCCAGTTTTTCCTAGCACAGAAACAGAACAGTTCTCTTCAAGCATCTTTATTAGCCCATAAAGGATGGCTGTCAATTGCATCCATTTACTCAGAACTAGAGCAAACAGTCTTCTACCGTGGGGCTGGCATAGTTAAATAGGGCAGAAAGAGGGAACAGATAATTGATGCCATTGTAATCTGTTCCTACTAAAACATTTATTCAATACATGAACTTTTAGTACCTCAAGATTTCAACCTCTTTATTCTATTGACACTTTCAGGTAGATGAAGGGAAACAACTAGGGTTGGAAGATCCAATAGTCCAAAAGTTACTGTTTTTTTTTTTTTTTCATCTTCCCGTTCTGCCTTGTAAAGTATGCTGGCTTTCCTCTTAAGTTGGTTCCCTTGATGAACTCCCTAGATGGTTACTGTTCTAATTATCCATAGGCACACAGCACCCTGAGGTACAATGCAGCATTTCTACTCCCACATTTGTCTTTAAGAAAGAAGGGAAAGATTTCCCCTAGATATTTATCAACCTTCTCTTAGCGTCTCTGGCTAGAACTACTTTTCAAATTGATGTTTAATGGATACATGAAATGAGTCTGGTCATTATGATTGACATAGTCAAATCACAGTTTATCTTTTGGAGAAGCTGATCCCTAGATGAACCCATGAGTGGAGAGAAAGTAAAGCTATCTGTTTTCTGCTACCAATGAACAAAACCAGGAAGTAGAAGGTAAGTACTCAGAGAAGTTGTAGCTGCAGGACCTAAATCCCTGAGATATGCTCAAAGAAATGCTTAAATAACAACTAGCCAGAATAAACAGAATGTGCATTCCACACAAGGTACCAGCCTAAGACGGGGCTTTTGTTGAGGACATAGTCCTATTCCTTAAGACGGCATGATTGTAAGAGAAACAATTACAAAAAAAATGGAGGTGTATGTATTCTCTAACAGCCAGATGCTAGGAAAAATTTGAGGAACATTACCACCATTACTGAGTAACAGGGATGGGGATCAACTCATCTCCACTCTTACTGATTTCTGACTATTACTCATGCCTCCAAAAAACCCAGATCTGATAAAGAAAAGCAACTAAGTACACTCTGTACTTAACAGCATCTCTAAAACAAGGAAAACAGAGAAGACTTCATCAAAGTAATCCACAAGTCACAGTAGACAGGCCACGGATCACAAAAATTCTCTAGGTTTCATAAAGCATGCTTATTTTGCATATAAGTTAAAGAAATGACAATTTTCTGCTTGCTTTTTTTTCTGAAGAAAAACATCATAAAGGGATTTGAGGGTAACAAAATGCTGATTCAAAGTGGCTTACTAAAAGCAACAAAAGAATTTTCTGAAATCAAAACCTTTCTTTTTACAATAAAATTTTACTTCCCTCTTTTCCTCCAGCGCAACTGACGATCCTATTGTCATCATGGGTCTCCGCCCTGCCCAGTGTAACCGATATTGTAAGAACAAGCCGTACCCAAAGTCTCACTTCTGCCGAGGTATCCCTGATGCTAAAATTCGCATCTTTGATTTGGGACGGAAGAAGGCAAAAGTTGATGAATTCCCACTTTGTGGGCACATGGTGGCAGATGAGTATGAACAGCTCTCTTCCTCAAGCTCTAGAGGCAGCCCGTATTTGTGCCAACAAATACATGGTAAAGAGTTGTGGCTAGGATGGCTTTCATATTCTAGTAAGGCTCCACCCTTTCCACGTCATCTGAATCAATAAGATGTTGTCCTGTGCTGGAGCTGACAGGCTCCAGA